AATTACCAAAACTGACTCAACAAGAAATAGAAAACCTTTAAAACACCTAAAACAAGTAAATGAACCAAAAAGAAGTGCCTAAACTCAGATGGCTGTAACAGTGGATTCTATCAGATATTTTAGGAAGAAGTAAGAACGTCAAATCTAGCAACATATAAAAAAGATTATACATGACCAAGGAGTTATCCCAGGAATAAAAAGTTGGCTTAATAATTGAACATAAATTAATGTAATACACCATAGTAATAGAAGACCAAATTCTCATGATCATCTTACTAGATACAGAAAAGGCATTTGACAAAATGCAACACCCATTCATGGTTAAAAAAACCTGGAATAGAAGAAGGCTTCCTAACCTGATAAAGAGCAACAACTGAAAAACCTACAGCTAACAGCATCTTAAATGAGAAGGACTGAATGCTTTCCCCCCTAACATTGGGAACAAAGGAAGAATGTTTGTTCTAACAGATTTTTAATTGATCTAGTTATAGCCAGCTTAACAATGGAAAAAAATTTTAAACATCCATTTTGAAAGGGGAGAAGTTAAAACTGTCTTTTTTTCTTCATCATCCTATATGTATAAAATTCCCAGGGAGTTCACTCAGCCAAAAAAAAAAAAAAATTCTTAGAATTCAATAGTAAGGGACTATCTTTCCTGGTGCAATGGATAAGAATCTGCCTGCCAGTGCAAGGGACATGGGTTCAACCCCTGATCTAGGAGGATCCCGCATGCCTCAGAGCAACCGAGCCTGTGCACCACAACTACAGAGCCTGCACTCGTCAGAGCCCAGGAGCCACAGCCCCTGAAGCCTGTGCCCTGCGAGGAACAGTAGCATCCCCTTGCTGCAGCTGGAGAAAGCCCACGCAAAGCAGCCTAAATAAATACATGAAGAATTTTTAAAAACTCAATAGTAAGTATATAAGCAACTTGGTTTTTTAAAGGGTCAGAAGATCTTAATATATAATAACATTATATCTAATGTACATTATATTATATTTAATATATTTAATATACATTATAAGGGACAGAAATGGTATGGACCTAACAGAAGCAGAAGATATTAAGAAGAGGTGGCAAGAATACACAGAAGAACTATACAAAAAAGATCTTCATGACCCAGATAACCACGATGGTGTGATTACCCACCTAGAGCCAGACATCTGGAAGGTGAAGTCAAGTGAGCCTTAGGAAGCCTCACTATGAACAAAGTTGGTGGAGGTGATGGAATTCCAGTTGAGCTATTTCAAAGCCTAAAGGATGATGCTGTGAAAGTGCTGCACTCAATATGCCAGCAAATCTGGAAAACTCATCAGTGGCCACAGGACTGGAAAAGGTCCATTTTCGTTCCAATCCCAAAGAAAGGCAATGCCAAAGAATGCTCAGACTACCGCACAATTGCATTCATCTCACACCCTAGTAATGTAATGCTCAAAATTCTCCAAGTCAGGCTTCAACAGTATGTGAACCGTGAACGTCCAGATGTTCAAGCTGGGCTTAGAAAAGGCAGAAGAACCAGAGATCAAATTGCCAACATCCTCTGGATCATCAAGAAAACAAGAGAGTTCCAGAAAAACATCTGCTTTACTGACTACACCNTCTGATGCTGAAGCTGAAACTTCAATACTTTGGCCACCTGATGCGAAGAACTGACTCCTTGGAAAAGACCCTGATGCTGGGAAAGATTGAAGGTGGGAAGAGAAGGGGATGACAGAGGATGAGATGGTTGGATGGCATCACCAACTTGATGGACATGAGTTTGAGTAAGCTCTGAGAATTGGTGATAGACAGGGAAGCCTTTGCAGTCCATGGACTCACAAAGAGTTGGACAGAACTGAGCAGCTGAACTGAACTGACACATTATATCAAAGAAGATATAGGAATGACTAATAAGCACATGAAAAGATGTTCAGCATGATTACTCAGAGAAATGCACATTTAAAGTCATAATGAGGTACTGCTTAATACTAGAATGGCTATAATCAGAAAGACCAAAAATAATAGGTCTTCGAGATGTGGAGAAACTGGAATCTTCGTGCATTGTTGGTGGAAATGTAAAATGATATGGCCACTTTGGAAAACACTTTGGCAGTGTCTTTAAAAGTTAATCATTTACTTACCATCCTACCCAATAATTTCCCCTCAAGAGAACAGCAAACGTTTCCACAAAAACTTTTACACAATGATCATAGCAGCATTATTTGTAATAATCAAAAACTGGAAACAAGCCATTACCCACCAAGTGGTGAATGAATTAAACATCATGTGGTCTATCCGTGCAGTGGGGTACTTCTCAGCTAGAAGAAAGTATTGATTCCTACTACAACATGGATAAACCTTGAAAACAGCTTGCTAACTGAAGGAAGCTAGATGCAAAAGACTACAAATCAAATGATTCATTTATATGATGTGTCTGGGAAAGGTAAATCTACAGATCAAAAAGCAGATGACTGGAGGCTGTAGGTGGGAACAAGTGTGACTACAGATAGGCACTAGGGATCTTTTTCAGTCATAAACTAGATGGGGGTGATGGCTGTACCACTCTGTCAATATATTAAAAACCATTGAATTTTATACTTAAATTGAGTCAATTTTATGGCATATAAATTTTATCTCTCTAAATCTATTTTTTTAAAAAAGATGAAATGGGTACTCGCCTTGGCAGTACGTGTACTAAAATTATAACAGTACAGAGAGAGGGATTAACAGATACTAACTACTATATATAAAATCAGTGAACAACAAGGATTTACTGTGTAGCTCAGGGAACTATATTCAGTATCCTGTAATAACCTGTAATGGAAAAGAATGGAGGAGAATATATGTGTAGATATAGACATATGTATAACTGAATTACTTTGCTATACACCTGAGCAATATTTAAACCAACTACAATATTTTTTTTAATTTTAATTAGAAATGATAAGATGGGAAGCAAGAGGTTATGCCAAACACTATGTATTCTTGCAGATAACTTTCTACTAACCTTGTGAGGTGGATGATGGCATCTTATTTTGTTGTTGAGGACATTGAAGCTCAGCAAGCATCAATTCCCTGATCAAAATTGCCCAAGTAATTGAGTTGCTAAGAATATAGATAAAAGATACATGTTGATTAAAATGTATGTACTGACTGGGAGAAATAATTTGAAGATCTTACTAAGTTACTGTACTCTATTGCTCATGTGACATTCATGGTGAAGACATTTAGAATGTGACTGGAGGATGCGTGAGTGTATGGGGAGCTGCTTAGTTGTCTGGCTCTTTGAGACCCTGTGGACTGTAGCTCATCTTTGTCCATGGGATTTCCCAGGCGAGAACGCTGGAGCAGGTTGCAGTTTCCTCCTCCAGGGGATCTTCTCAACCCAGGGGTCAAACCCAAGTCCCCTGTGTCTCATTGGAGATTGGCACTGTTAGATTGTGTCTCTTTGGCAGGCACATTTTTTGTCATTGTGCCACCTGGGAAGTGGTTGGAAGATAAAACCAGAAAAAATAACTTTGAGTGGTTTCTGGAGTCATTGTCTCTTAGCCTAGCTTAAATTCACTGATGAAATTATTGGGATTTTCTTTGTATACATACGGGACTTTAAGAAATGGATGCTGAGTAGTCTAAAGATGGCAATGGCGAGTGAAGAAAGCGTGAAGTGAACACTACTTTAAGCTTTTGACCTTAAGATATGGGTGATTTCATCTCAGAACTTTGAAAAGAAAGTAGTGCCCATAAGTGAAATCAAGTTAGATAAGGTGAGAAATTGGTCAAGAGAAGATTGAAATTTACTAGCAGTAGAAAAGAAATGAGAAAAGATGTTTACCTTTCTATAGAACAGTGTGCAGGTCTTAGGAGAAGAGTGTCAAAAAGTGAAAAAGTGTATGAATCTGCCAAACATAAGAACCAGCATAGCATCAATAGCCCAGTGACATAAATTGATTTGATAGATTTAGAACTGAATGATGATATTGTGATTAATAGTATCCAGAAAGATGTAATTTGTACTTATGGACAGCAAGAGTGAAGAGGAAATCATCTTATATTTTTGAGAAAGGCAGAAAGAAGAGTAAGTAAATCCTCCTTTTTCAGTTAACAGTAAGAAAGGTATGTTTACCTGAATCATTCAGAGACTACATAGCACTTTCGTGTAACGTAATAGGAAACAGAGAAAGTAGAATTCAGTACTGAAATACATGGGGTCTGATTTTCTCCTGGCTCTGTGATATGTGAAGAAACGTTTCTTCACAGTAAAATGATGAGAGTTGAATTCTAGATGTTCTTAGTATAGGTCAGAAAAAGCTTCAACATAGGTTTTAAAAGAACAAAACTGACTGAATTTTTAATACAGCTGTTAATAGAGAAGAGAGTCTTCTACAGCTTAGTGACAGATTTTATCACAGAGAAAGTTTTTATATAGATCTTTTTTCTAATATGTTTATGGGTTTGAAAGATTTATTTTGATTGGTCTAGTTCTTCATCATTTCTGAAGTCTTTTATACTTCTAGACATATGCCTTTTGTTATTTTTGTACTATTTCTGTGAATGTTATTAATATTTATTTTAGTAAAATATACTTTTTTTTTTATTTCATTACTTTGTTTTGATTTTTCTAAAGAGACTAAGGAGATTTCTAAATGAAGATGGTTTTCAGAAGCTTGGATTTTTTTGCTTATACATATCTTCTCCAGAGCAATTGTGTTCTATAGTTAGAGCCTCTGTGATTTTTTTTTTTTAATTTTTAATAGGAAATTGGAATTGGAAAGCCATGTTCTCTGTTTCATGGTTACTTTATTACTCTTGCCTCTTAAAGTAGGATTCATGGCTTTGGTTCTTAAAGTGTTTGTTTTTGTGGTTAATTTCCATAGAAGCACTGAACCAGTTTAATAGAAAAGGACATACTCAGATGTTACTGGATGGTAGAGTATTCAGTTGATTCTAGAGCATGGCTGAATAAAGCGACCATCCTTCCAAAGCCTTTTCCAGCGGGTCACTGTCAGGTGTGATTCTCTTTCAGGCACTACAGAGACCACCTCCAACAACACTGCGACCGTGATCTCCACGGCGCCTCCGGCCTCCTCGGCGGTCGCCTCCCCCGCCCTGAGCCCCTCCCCTTCTGCCTCAGCCCCCGCCTCCGAGGCCTCCAGCGCCAGTGAGACCAGCACGACACAGACCACCTCCGCCGCCCTGGCCGCTCCCCTTGGGGCCAGCCAGGTCATGGTGACGGCTTCGGGGCTGCAGACAGCGGCCGCTGCCGCCCTGCAGGGAGCTGCCCAGCTGCCAGCGAATGCCAGTCTTGCTGCCATGGCTGCTGCTGCGGGGCTCAACCCAGGCCTGATGGCGCCCTCACAGTTTGCAGCTGGGTAAGGCGCTTTCTGCCTTGCTTACCTCTGAGAAAGCGCGGAGGTCGTCCCTAGAGCTGCTCATGGGGAATACTTTCCAACACTGTCTGAGATGCAGAAACAAAAACCGTTAAAGCCATACCCCTTTGAAATAGGTTGCTCTGTAGCAGCGCAGGCACTCGGTTGTGGTGGGACTGGGGTTTCCTGGCAGCCTGGGGTCACACTCTCCTCCCCAGATGAGGGCGCCGGCCGCCCGGCCGCCGATCGTACCTGGGTGAGGGGGCCAGGGAGGAAGCAGAGTTCGGGCTCCTGTCCTCACACTTTTTAAGAGTTAGTTTGTAACTATATTCCTTTCTCTGTCATTTTTTTCTCCTGTTTTGGAAAAAAGAGAACACAGTAACTCAAAGAGTCAGAATGACTCAAGCTTTACATTCTGTGTGGGCCATAACCGCGCTTTCTTTGTATAAGTGAGCATCAAGGAAAGCGGTGATTTGGAAGCGCCATGTAAAGAGTAAAGAAGAATAACACATATTCCCATATACTTCCCACCTGTATTTTCCTTTTTCTCTTCCCTTTGGGTGTGTTGTCGGATTGACACATGTGTCTGCGTTATAGTAATGTGTCTGCTCTTCCGGTCTTTCAGAGGTGCCTTACTCAGTCTCAATCCGGGAACCCTAGGTGGTGCTCTCAGCCCAGCTCTGATGAGCAACAGTACACTGGCAACTATTCAAGGTCAGTAGAATTTTTTCCCTTTCTCTTTTTTTTTCTTAAATGGAGGAAGTCTGCTTTGCTAGAGGTGAAAGTGATAGGAAGAGATAGTTGAATTGATAATGCTGACTAACCTAAGGACCAGGAATGTGTTCTTATAAAAAGCTTTGTAAGGGAAATAGAGGTGTCAGTTTGTAAGAACAGGAAATATGCTCAGTGTGGTGTATTAAGAAACCAGGACTGGAGCTTGCCTAGCGATCCAGCAGTTAAAACTGCGCTTCCACCACAGGGGCTCAGGTTCCATCCCCGGTCAGGGAGCTGAAATCCTGCCGGCTGCAGTGTGACCAGAAAAACAGAGAGAAATCAGGACTTTCATGCTAATATTTATCTTCTTATAATATAGGCTTGGAGGCATTGCTTCCTAAATGTATCTAAATAGTCATCCAAGAACCATCCCCAGGCAAGCTTGACCAAGTAAAACTCCCCAGGCCTCATCCTCAAGAGCCATATGCAAGAAGGCTCTGTAACAGATTAACGTTGGAGGACACCATGCAGCCTGCAAGAGTACTTTTAATTCTGATTAGGTTCTGCCGTTTGTATATCCTCATCATTGTAGAGCTTATATTCTCTTGGATTTTAACATCTCTTTCCCAAGCCCAGATGGGTCCCTTTTGGCCTTAGCATGCTGTCCAGTCTAAAATGAGTCTTAAGTCCACTCATTCTATATATTGAAGAGTCTGCTTTGTTTAGTATTTGACCTTTGTGTTTGAAGATGCTTGCTGTTATGTGATTCAAGGAAACACTTTGAGACATCACTATACTAATCTCAGAATTTTTTCTTAAAAAATAGTTTGTGCTTAAATGAGAGTTCTTGGAGTCAAAAACAGTTTTTAAACTGCTAAACTTCATTTAGGATTAGTGTTTCATGAATGATGTCTCTACAGTATACTGTAGGCAGTTAGTTCCAGACAAATCCAAAATGTCACTTAGATTACCTTACGTTATATTGACTTTTCTCATTGATTAAATCATATGTGAAATTGCTTCCTGGTTAGATCTGTAAAGCTTTTATTATAAAATGATTTCTTTTTGGAGTAAGATTTGTGATAAATCACTTTTTCTCTTGCATTACAATGTGTCTCTGGTCTGTGGTGATGCTAAAAAGACACAGCTGTGTACCAAAGAGGTACTGTGTGGGAAGATCTAGAACTGGACTATGACCCTAAGCCTGGAGTCTCAGAAAATGTCAAGCTGCACCAGGACTCACTGTTCTGTACTCATTGTGTGATCCTATCCAAAGTCAGGGATGTTCCCTCAGTTCCTCTTGCTTTTTTTAATTATGTAAGAAATCAAATTTTTAATGCCACTAGGAAAAACCCTCAAATATACATGTGAGGGTGTGATTATATGGGTGAGGGGATTGTGGGGGGTTTTCAGATACAGGAAAAGATAGTCTTTTGAATGGAGTCACTCTAAAGTCAGTAATCTTCATTAAATCAAAGTTATTGGATTTAACAGATATTTCTGGGTAGATGAAATAAGTTGAGATTTCAGGATAGAAATATAACTCTGATTCTCTTCTCCCCTATCCTGTTCATGCTCATTAGAGTTTTCAGTCCTCTAGGCTCTTTTAAAATTATAAATAAACTTTGGTTGATAAATTATAGCACTGTGATTAAGGGGAAAAAAATCAGGTAAGGGATAAACTTTTTTCATCTGAGTTGCAGGAAAACTTAGGACATTTGATGTGTCCTTTGTCGACTCCAAGCTGGCACTAACATTCTCCTTCCTACCTGTTTTCTGGGGGTTTGTCTGTAGCTCTTGCTTCTGGTGGCTCTCTTCCAATAACGTCACTGGATGCAACTGGGAACCTGGTATTTGCCAATGCAGGAGGAGCCCCCAACATCGTGACTGCCCCTCTGTTCCTGACCCCTCAGAACCTCTCTCTGCTCACCAGCAACCCAGTGAGCTTGGTCTCTGCCGCTGCAGCCTCTGCAGGGAGTTCTGGACCTGCAGCCAGCCTTCATGCCACCGCCACCTCAGCTGAGTCTGTCCAGAACTCTCTCTTCACTGTGGCCTCTGCCAGCGGGGCTGCCTCCACCACCACCACTGCCTCCAGGGCGCAGTGAGCTGGGCCGAGCGCGCTGCTGGCAGGGACTGAAACGCGTGATGGACTTCCTGTTGCCATGTCGCAAGGGCAAGGGAGCGGAGGGAGAGAAGAGAAAAACACGTGGCGGAAAGAAAGATGGAGCTGGGACAGCAAATTTGCCTAATTTTTTAATAAAACACTGTCTTTTCAGGATTGCTTCATGGATTGGAGAACTTTCTAACCAAAAATTAAAAAAAAAAAAAGGCAGAAACAAAAAAATCAAAAACAAACAAAAAAATAAGTGAAAGGACTACTTATCATTTCCAGCAGTCATGATGACAAGTTAAGGTGGGTTACCAATTCCGATATAGGAAGGGGACTTCTTGTTTGTCTAAATTTCTTTTTCTTTAAAAAAAAATCATTTTTATGGGTCTGTTGTACAGGCCATTATGTCATAACAAGGTGTTTATAATCATATCAGTTGTGTTGGGGGTTCCTTTCTTAACTGGTACAATTTAGGCAGGCCTGTATTACTGTATCTCTATTGTTGTTGTTATTGTTTTTATATATATATATATATATATAGCTTATATATATATATATAGTTTGAACATGTTTGTCTCTTGCTCCTGGATCCTATCTCAGTGAGCCCCCACGCTGCGGGGTGGGAGGGCTTTCGGGTAAGGGGGGACTTAGATTCTGAACTGCGGGGGGTGTTCTTGCTGGTTTCCCTGTCCTTGATGACTCTCACAGAGGTGCTAGAAAATGGTTTTCTTTTGCCACTTTTGCAAGAGGCTTGGTGCAGAAGCTGAAGGCAGTGTGTGCAAACACTCCCGCCCCACACGCGCCCCCTCCCCCATCAGGCGGTGCCTTTGGAGCACTTTTGTGTGGGAAGGAATTCCTGCTGAACTGTAGCTCTCACTCGCCCCGGATCACTGACCCGAGGCCCAGACCCTGTAGTGCAGCAGCGCTGCTTCCTGCTACTTTCAGTGGGAATGGCTGCACACGTTGCAGGACACGGTCTGGTTCCACAGAGCAAAGACTACTGCAGACACCTGACTTGGTGGTTCTCCTGGTTTCTTATCTCCTGAAATGCTCCTACTGTTGGTGTGTGTGTTTGTTTTTTCCACGTGGTGGAAGTTTTTCATCCAAACTTCCTTTAACTTACTTGGCAAAGAACAAAATGACTTACTGAAACTGGGAAACTTTTCCCTCCCTTCTTTTGTTTATTGAAGGAACTCTACTAGACTGTTTTTCATTGGTTATAGATCACCCAAAGAGGTGTGATGAGAAGAATGTGAGGTTACCACGTTTTCCTCTAGCCACAGACTTCCTTTTCAGTAGATGGCTTATCAGTTCCTCTAACCCTGATACTCTCCTTGGTTCTCTGACTGGAGAAGGCACTAATTAGCCAAATACGGGATCTGTAGAACCTTTGAAAGACTTTGAGCAGGAACTTTATACACACCTCACATGTCTCCTTGGTTTGTTAGTGATGCTCCTGCTAGGTAGGTCTAAATGGCAATACACATCTCTTTATTCATTGTAGAAGGCAGTTAGCTTCTGTAATTGTTTTCAGGGTATTTCTAGACGATGTAAATGAGCCCATGAAAAGGAAATGTTTATGGAAGGAGATGAATAGGAATGAAGGTTTCCCTTCTCCAGGAAGGGTAACCTGGAGGTCAGATTTCCCTTTTTGTCAGTGTTCTATTATTATAGTATCTGTATCCAAAAAAGCTCCCAAAGACTGGATTGCTGCAATGCAGCTCCTTTGAGCTCCCTTCTTATTGGAATTAGAGGTTCCCACCTGGCATCTGTGGGTGGTCGTGCACATCTCTGGTGGTTCCATGACTGCACTTTTTCCCCCTTCCAGGCTTGGGGCTGAGAGAGAGCTTACAGGTGACTTTTCTTCTTCTTGCTCTGCTTGTGTCCACGAGGGAGCTTGAATTCTGTGTATTTGTCTCAGTGTTGGGAAAGGCAGTGATACAGACACTGTGTGTATTTTTGTTTGTGATCATTCAAGTTGGAGACAGGCATATTACTGTTAAAAGGCCAGAAACGTTTTAGTTCCCTTGTTAGTTTTTCTTCTGTTTCTTTTGTCTTCCCATTTTATTTCACAAAGTACCCTTCACCTTCCTAAAATCCCTCTGAAATCAGTGAACTGCAAGCAGGGAAACTAACAAATGTCCATCCACCATTTTTATGTGTGGTATGTTTTTTTAATGTTGTTTTTTTTAACTAAGCTTGAACCAAAGTCAATTTTTAGCAAGCTGCTGTACTAATGGACTAGTTTATATCGTGCAGTTCAGACACATTGAGGAGATAGATGCTACTGACAATTTCTTTTTTTCATTTGTCTTTATTAATTTTATATAAAAGTTGCTGCTTGTTTTAATCTTTTATGTTGGTAAATTGTAATATCCTCTGGGCAGACATTAACTTGATTTTTTAAGTAGTTTAGTTAGTTTGGTGTGTAAATAGAATGGCAGTGTCAGTTACTAATTTTTCTCCTCTTCATCCCTCTGTTTCTCTGATGTAGTTGAATTTGACCTTTTACCCTGATTTGACATCTCTAATTTTAGTCTGTGCAGATGATTTTAGGGCTGTCAGTTACACTGTAGCTGCCCACAGGGATGGGTCCCTCCCTCGGGAGTGGTAGGTTAGGAGGAAGGATTCAGGGAGGAAAATGCTGATACCCACCAGACTGGGTTAGAGGTTGTAGCATTCACTTCCCAAATCGCTACCAAAGGAAGTGTTGAGTCCCAAAGGACTCAAGCCCAGCGGATTAAGAGGAGGAGCAAGGAGACCGTTTTTGTTTGTTTTCCTACATGGTTCAGAGATACTCCCTCTCTTAAATAAGATCGCCAATAGACTTTCATATTAAAAAAAAAAAGATACTAAGCTTTAAATGTCAGTACAGTGGTCTTCTATTCCCTGCCCTGTCTGTAGTCTCTAATCAGTTTGGGATAAAGGGATTCTGCCTTTGTGTGGGTATGAGTGTGGATCACTTTGTGAGGATAAACTTTAAACCAGCATAAAAACCTGTGTTCGAAAGAAGAAATCCATCCTTTAGACAAAGGTACCTGTTAGAATTTTTCTTTTATTCTCTTATTTAAGAAGCAAGTTGTGAAATGTATACACGAAACACTAAAACAGCTTGTTGATGGGTGTTTAACTTAAAATTGAATCCTCATCATCATCCCTAGATAGTCTACTGACCGTATTGCTTCATGACTCAACCTTTAGTCCTTTTTTACTTTGCATCATCTTTTTTATCATCTCAAGAAATGCTTTGAATCTTCTAATCTAAGGTACTCAGACTTAACTTTTAGCCACCTTATATGGGAGAGTCTGGAAATTAAGGGGTCCATTTGGCCAGAAAGAAATATTTGGTAGAGTTTCTGCACTTCTAAGAGAAAAGACCAGATAGGTCATCACAGTTCATTGTGGTCATTCTTTGTTTTCCCCTTAATCTTTATGCAAGTTTTATTTTATTCCTGAATTTGGTTAATACATATTAAGCCAAAGACTAATTCCAAATGCATTTATAGTGATACTATATTTGCCCATGGTAATGGGCCCTGCCTGGGGAGTAGTGAATGTAATTGTTTGAATCCTGCTTATCACAAGCAGGGAAGTTTGGTTATAAACTTTATTTGTACCCTGTATAAATCTAAAGGACAGAGGAGAAAGACCTAGAAAAGGGCTTCTCAGAAGAACAATATTATTGTTCTTGATTTAAGAAATATGTTGAGTGCTGTGTTAGTTTAAATGTTTCTGAAGTTATATAGGCAGTCTTTTAGAATCAAAAAAATAATTGTTCCTATCCATTCATTACTTGATATAAAACACACTTTCTTTTATTTATTTGTTAAGAAAGATCAATACCATCCCAGTTTGCTCAACTTATTAGTAGAGAAATGGAACCAAAGGCATCCAACTTTCATTTTGTTTAGGGCCATACTGATTTGTACTTCATGGTAGCATTGTTAGAAATTAGCATTTTTTAAAAGGGAAAATAAGATTAATTAAAAGATTCTTAGTGACATTATCTTGCCAATTTATTCTACACAGTTCATCCATCGTTGGGAAGAAAAGCACAATTATACCTCTTTCTTATGTTATTTTGTTCTATTATTCCTCATTTATTTGGGAAGGTGGGAGAAAACCTTATCTATATTATGCAGAAGCACAGATACTTGCTTGTCACAATATATAAATTCAGCCCAATCTTTAACATTAAATTTTCTATTTAAATTGCTGGGAAAGCTGGATACGTTTGGAAATACAAGAAATTAATGTAGATTTTTAAAGTTGTAGATCCTGATAGTAAACATTGCAATTAGTATATAATAAACACTTGGCTTACAGAAGAAACTCTTTGTAGTTCATAGTCTAAAGTTGTTCCCAAACCTTATCATCCTCACAAAACTTTCTTTACCAAGAGAAGAGTGAAATCATTACAATAGGAAGAAACGAGAGAGAATGGACAGGGAGCGGACTTAAATGGGCAAGAATTGATGGATTCATTTGATCATAGCCATTGTGAGTTCATTTTTGTATGTGTGTGTGAAAAGCATTTAGTTTAATCACAGCCCTGGCCATCTGTGCACACAGTACAAATGTGAACTTGGACAAAAATAGGATAAATAAATTGCTCTCATCGTTAAAGACTGATACTAATCCTGTTCTACCATATTCTTTTCTTAATCTGAAGAAATTAAATGGAACACCCCTGAAATTTTCAGTAAGATATTTGAAAGGATCCATCCAGAGGACAGGGACTATGTCTTTTCTCAGTTCTCCAGTTTATACCCAGATTTCCATATGATTTGTGAAGTTGCTTTCTTCTGACCATCCTTATTCATGAAGCAGTTCCATGCGTAGGCTCTTCTACCCTCAGCCTTTTCTTAAAGCAGTAAACATTAGTGGATTTTATGTTATTCTGTAATCTGGATCTCCTTTCCTCTCTTCCTTTTCACTTTGAATGGTGATACCTTAATCCGTGAGGATAATGCTGGTGGGTAACAGCTAGCTTCTGGCACCTTCATAAAATACCTCAGCATAGCTTAGCATTGTTACAGAGCTGGTTTAAACTAAAAACCAAATAAATAAAAAGGAAAAACTTTATAAATAGTGGAAATAATTCTAGCTGTAGCATTTAGTTGAACTGATGTTTATTACGATTGATAAACATGACTGATGCTATATGTATTTGGGATCCTGTTTATAGGTTACAGTTTATAGGGTTAGGGAGGGGTGGGGGGAAGAGGAGAAGGTGATTATGTTAGAAGGAAAACATTGCATTGCGTGTGCGTGTGCGTGTGTGTGTGTGTGTGTGTGTGTGTGTGTGTTTCCTTATCTCTGTCTTGCCAAAGGAAACTTGATCATCCCTGTGTTTGGGTTTGGGGTTTTTTGGCCTCTCTAAGGTCTGGGCTGCAGTGCAGTGTGGCATGCAGGGCACACATTTGTTATCCAGTTCAGGGTCCTCAAGGCATTTACATCCCTTCCTGTGGCTGCCTGGGGCCCCCAGACCCTGCCAGGCTCTTCTGATGATTCATTACCTCTTATGTAGCAAGAGCTTAAGAGAAGGGTTAATGTGTGAATGTTGGGGTATGTAGTTGAGAAATAGAGACAGAATTAGACAAGCACCCTTTAATTTGGAGAGGAAAAGAGAAATGAGTGAATCATGCATCTTAATCTTAGGAAATTACAGTAAAATATTTTTTTGTCACCCTCTGTCACATTATTGAATGCTGTGCAGGTAGCACAGCAGTTTAGAACCTCACTTCCTTTACTCATATCAAGGCTAATTCTGTCTTGACCAAAAATGCAAACAGGAGGAAACCAGATCAAGAAGTGGAAAGCCAACCAGCTGGCCCCACATGTGTGGTGGTGTGACCTTTAGAGACTGATTAGTGAGACGGACGAAAGTATTGTTCTTGGTGGGTTGTCTTGAATGAGAAATGATGCTGGTTTAGGAACAGTTAAGAGCCCTTTCTGGCCAGACTGTGGGACAGACTTTCATGGCTTCCCAAGTTCAGATATAGACTCTGTGTCCAGAAAGGCTATTTTTCAATAGGTGACCCTTCTCATAGAACCTCAGTGGGGTTCCGTCTGGATACCAAAGACAGTGCATTGTTTTTTTCTTCTGTTTTCCATACAAACAGCAGAAATAGGAACAAAAAGCTGAAATTTGGAAAAAGCTTTACATTTGTCTCTTTACTTTTCCTCTCCCCTCTCTTCTTCCGCCTATGCAGTCTCCACTCTTTGCAGGAAGTCTCGTTGGTCATCCTAGCTTTGGAAGAGAGATTGATTGAGTTTCACTCTGCTGGTTCTGTGAAGATGCATGGAGTTGCTCAGTGCGGCAGTGATATTCTTGGAATTGCTGGGAAATTTAGAAGGGAGTGTGGCAAAAGATGGGGTTGGATTCTTTTATTTCCCTTTATCTAACACTTAGAGTGAGAATAAGTACAACCAGTGTGAGTTCAGATGCTGTTTAGTTGTTCTGTCACTTGTAAAGGATAAGCGTTTTTAAGAGCAAGATTACATGAAGACCCGAAAGACCTTCTTTTATTCTTCCGTCAAGCTGTATTGTTACAGAATGTTTCTACATATGGGCTCTGGAGACTTGAGTAGTTCGTTGTTTTGGTTTACTGTTGATAAGACAGAAAATGGGAGAGGGAAACGAAATTTATTGTTCTTGATATTCTATCAAAAAATGATCAGGTTGCAGAACTTCATGACAGCTTTACCAGTAATCCTATTCTGGCATTATATAAAAGTGATATTAATATCATGTGACTTTTCAAAGTACTAGATAGGTCAGGAAGCAGGTAACAGGGCTATTAAAGATAACAGCACTTGAAACACTTGTGGGAAGACAGACCAAACACGGTGGACCGCCGCTGCCGCGGAAGCGGAGCTCCCAGGGTGGGCAGGGCAGGGCCGGTCCCTTGATGGTTCTTTCTGTCCCTGAATCAGCCCAGGCTGCGCAGGACCGTGCCACCCAGGGTCACCCTCTAGTTCAAACCCAGGGCACTGTCAGAAAGTTCAGACCCCAAAACTACTTTACTGCAAAAAAGCAAGCAAAACGTTGAAGTCTGATACAAAGTTCCCCCGAGGTTGGTTTGTTTACTTGTCCATCATTGTTTTGAGTGAGCCACAACCTCACAAAAGCAGCTTAAGGCTCCTTTCGTGACTTGGCGGTGACGCTGAGCTCTCCCGGGATACAGGAAGTCTGCGGGCAGACGGTTGGTACAGTGATGCCTCCACAGTGAGACATCCAAACACTTCTTTAAAGTTGGGATCTCCTTCGAATGGAAAGAGGCAGAGCCACGGGCAGAGAAGACTACTCCTGCCTGGTCCCACAGTGTCTCTAAGTCGGAACAATAGCACAGGAAGGGAAAGCACTTTCAGAAGCAGAAGGACAGTCCTGTTAGGAAAGGCTGTGGTTGTAGGCAACTGGAGGTGCCGTGTCTTTGGTTCTGACCCTACACAATTCTACGTGAGGCAGATACTTTCTGAGAGTAGAGTGGACCAGCCTGGTTGTGTTTAAAACTGCAAACAGTTCAGAGTGGGGGGAGGAGAGAGCCTAAGACTTTATTACAACATTGGCTTTTGACAGCGTAAATAGTGTCTCCCCTGAGTGCAGGTAGGGGGGAGACAGACTTCTTCCAGCTTCTTACCTTTGCTTGAGGGGGCCTGTGTGCATTGCTCAGTCCACAGGAGGTTTCATTCCAAGGAAACGCCCTCCCCTACGTTAAACCATAGTTCAGTCTCTGCAGCTGTGGTGATAGCAGAAACGAGGTGAGTAAGTGTGGGGGTTTTCCGCCCACCGCAAATCCAGGAGCTGTTGTATACCTCATTTCTAACTCCTGACTGAGTAACATGCTTTAACTTTCTCTAACCCCGACAGAGTTGCCAAGTCTGCCCTCCCTCTTCTGAGTAATGTTGAGCTCTGGCCTATAGCATCATGGGACCTGTAGCCTAGGGTGGGACTTCCCAAAGCCTCCGAATGTTGCTGCTTTAAAAGCTACTGCAAGCTGAGGGCAAATTGCAATCGTCTCTTTCTTTTCGTTGCAAGGGGTCTTCACAGGACTCTCTAACATCTGTTCCCCGCCACCCTGCCCTTAGGGGCCGGCCAGCCACCCCACACCCCAACCCGCACCACGTCTCTGACCGCTGGCCACACATCGCCTCCTGTACTTGCCTCTCCCTGGTAGGGAGAGGTCACCCCCTTCCCCTGCGAGGCCTCAGGGTTCTGCTTCTTTTCAGGACTTTGGGTGGAAGGGAAGACACACCAAAGGCTCCTTTAAGCTGACTGCTGCATACACATTTCACTTTTTTCCTTTGACATGACCAAAAAAACCCCCAAATATTTAAGTTTTTATTATTATTAATATTATTATTATTATTTGACAATCTTATATCCATTGGGCTGTCTAGAAGCTGCATCTCCAGCCCTTCACCTTTTCTTTGAATGTAGTTCCCAACCTTCAATTCCCACCCCCGCTGTTGAAAAAAAAGCTTTGCCAGGTCTTACTACTGCTGCTATAAGCCAGGGGAGGGTGGTTTCTTTGTGTTGTTTTGCTTCATTTTTAAAATTTCCAGCCAAAACCAAAGATTTTTTAATGATTGTATAAACTCAAAACAAACAAAAAAACCAAAGAAAAGGGAAGTCTTCAGCATCAATCCAGTCTGTGGCGTCCTGGCATTAAGAGGAGGGGGTGGGGAGGTGGGGCCTCTGACAGTATTGGAAGGGCAGGGGGTCTCTTTTCCATGGTCCGGGTTTGCAGAGGCAGATGCTCAGTAGCCTTGACTCTTGCCAACTTGTGAACATGCCGTGGAATAAATTGGCATTTCAATTTTCTAAAACAATGGACTGAAGCCCATCACCATGATAATACACCCTGCAGTTACCACGGTGATCCACCCCTACAACAGCCGAGTCACCACAGGGTCTAGCAGAGGGACTCGGGTGGTTGGGGTTGCTGCTGGGCCCCCGTGGACTCCACAGAGTGGGGGAAATTGAAGACACTGGTGCAGGATTGGCTGCTCTGCTGGGTGCTTTAACCTCTGGGGCGGTGCTGGCGGGTGAATACACGCCAAGTTGCCCTTCTGAGCCTTTTCTCTCTTTTCCTTTACTGGAACTGCTTGGAAGTGGCTGTCCTGTTTGTGAGAAAACATGCAGAACGATTGTCAAGCTTCTCATTTCTCCTCACTGTAATCTGTTTCCTCTTTGCAGCACCACTGTGCAACTATGCATTGTATTTCACAACCTTTTGCGCTAGGTAGATGCCTGTGACTTTTTAACTTGGGGGGGTGGGGGGTTGCAAATGAAGGAACTTTTTACATGGATCTTTTTAATCTCAGTTGATTGGGGAAGGGGGGGGATTTGGTTTTAGGGTCATACAAGCTCTATCCCAAAGCAAAATCCAAATGTTAATAATATTAGCCTGATGCAGATACCAAAGATAATTTCTTTCCTGCAGAACCTTAGACTTGTGTATTAAGTACGATTACCCAGCACTTGCATTAGTCTAACCTCAGTAATTCCAAAGCTTAGATGTATATTTTGGTATATTTCTGGGATATTAAAAAAAAATGTCATTTCTTGTTTCAGTGTAATGCTCTTAAAGTCATAGCATGAAAATAACTGTCCTATTCTTAGTAGTTTGAATAATAGTATTTTTGTATGTTTGGGGTGTGTCTCTGTATGTATTAACATAACAGTTTTCACTGCCTAGGTGTTCATAATAAAAAAGAAAACAAAAAAGTTCTGAGTGTACATAATATTCAGTAATAAACTTCCACTGGGTTCAATTTGGATTGAATATTTGCTGATTACCAATCCCAACTGGGATTCCATTTTGTTTTAAAGAGACAGTGATCGTGTTTTTCTAAAGCTGTTTTCTTTCTCTGTCCTTAAATATCTTAACTTTACCACCTTTCTCTTTTCTTGCCTTTTTTTTTTTTTTTTAAAAATATTGATTCAGGGGTGTTTTTCCACTGTTGTCAAGGGAGGAACACAAGGGGAAATTGACTCCTTGGTCTCCCGAAACTTTTTGTTTTATGTACTTAACTTTAAAATGTGAGTTTGAGTTCTCTTTTGTGGAAACTTAAGATGTGGTGTAAATGATTTTTTTCCAAAATTGTCCAGCAACTTTAATGAGGCAGTGACAATTCCTAAGTAGTTTATTGGGAGTCCTTTTACATTTCTGCTTAGATAACTACAGTCTGGGTGGCTATTGTGTAGCCTCACTGTCCCAGCATACCTAGTTAGCCATTTCCCCTCTAATAGGAATATTTCATAAGAATCAACTGATAACTTGGAGTTCAGGACCTCATTATCTGGGCCCTTGGGAAACACTTTTTCTTGGTTTTGAAAACCTGAAACACAAGCAACTTCACATTTGGGGGAATTAGCTGGTACCTCCTGAGGCCTGAGGAGGTGGTGGGGAATATGAACGGTGCTGTCTCTTTCAAAGTGCCCTTTATATGATCCCCTTCCTGAGGCTGCTTGCAGGGGCCCTATAGGCTTGGGAAAGGTGGTGTAGGTGACAGTGAATCAGAATGAAGTGGTAGATTTCATGTAGATGCATTTGTCTGCTGTAATTTTTTATATATATTAAACTTACTGTAACTGTACAGTTCATTTCTGTTGTAAAACATCATTAAACCATTTTCCAAGTGTTTTCACATTGTTTGAGTTTCTCTGAAGTTGTCATGTTGGTATTCTGGATGCTTCACATATTCCCACACTACTCCCCTAAGCCTTCCAACTTTTTTTTTCCAGCAGGTGCTCTCAGGAGTCCCAGGGTCCCTGTAAGCACGTTGGCTCCTCCCCCACCCTCACCCTGACTCTTGCACACTTCCCCTTCTGCTCCATGGGGCCCTGTGGCCACCACCGTGCTCCCTCCCCAGGCCCTAGTGGTTTTCTGGGACCCTGAGTCTGGTAGCAGTGGTCTCCTTCAGGCCTGAGGACTTTCTGTGATCAAACACACAAACCCTTGATTGACCTGTGGGAGAAATCTTCACAACTCCCCTCTCACTGTGTATTTTACTTCAGAACTGGCATTGAACTTGACTTTTTCCAAATTGATTGTTTAAACTGCCATGTGCCTCTAGCATTTCTTGCCAGGTCCTGAACACTCATTTTCTGGTGTCCTTTGAAGGAAGGTGATCCTGCCCGAATTTGGCCTTTCGTTCTCCTGTCTGATGGTTCACAACTTAGCTCCCTCTGGCTTCTTATAGCCAACATTTAGTGTCTTTAGTGCAATTTAGTTGACTGCATAAAAAGGAAAATTGGAATCTTAAACTGAATTTCCCAGAGAGAGGGAACTTCAGCCTGTTAACAGGCTTTGGGAGGTGACCTCTTTACTAATGTGTATGAACTGAATTTGTGCATCCCCTTAAAGGAGGAGTCAGAGATTGAAAGAGAGCTCACACTATGGCCTCAAGTTATGCTTGCTGTCCTGAAAGGGGCCCAAAGTGGAAGACAAACACTGGCTTCATTTCTCCCCACTTCCTGTGTCAAAGAATGCCTCACTCTTTCCCAGCCCACCGTGTCTCATATTTATACCTTGCTTTTCAGTTTGTAAAGTTATTTTATTAAAACAATTTTAATATGAGTCAGCTATTTGGTAGAGACGGCAGCGGGCTCGCAAGCATGAGAAGGACTTCAGAAAGCAAAACCCCTTTGTCACGTGCGGATATGAAGATAAGCACTGATTTCCACCTGTTTCCCTGTAGTTCTTTGTGAAAAGGTTATGTTCTAACCCACTCCAGAGGTATCTGCCAAGCAGAATTACTCATGAAAGGATGTGAGTTTTCTTACTGAAGTCTTTTCTCTCCCCAACGACTAGGGCCACTCTCAACTTGATCTGGGGCTTTGTTCTGCCAGTATATCCACTCCATCCTCTCCCACTGGCCTTCTCTTGTGTAGTTGTCTTGCACAAAGTCCAGTAAGTCCTGTACCCCAGCCACCCTGGGCAAGCTCCGGCACCCAGAGCTTACAGCCAGCTTTCCTCCTACTTCGTGAGTCAGAATCTTGACAGAATTAGGTCAAATTCTTATTTTCAGGCCAGCCATATGGGTCATACACAGCCTATATGAAACTTAGCTGACCTTAAAACTAGGTGTGAGGTTGAGGCTTATTCAAATGTTGACTAACAGAGGAAGCTAACTTCAGTTTTTAAGATGCCCGATGAGAAGATGATAAAGCAGCAGCAGCCAAAAAAGAGCTGTCACTTGTCTTTAAGAACTAGTCAGTGGAAGAGCAGCTAAAACAACATAGTGTAATTTGCCCCATGACCAGGTTACATAATCAGGGTTGAGTTTTCAGCCATCCTGTTCCACCTCAGAGGTCTTTTCCTTCCACAAACCCTTCCACAGCTTCTGTGCCTTGGTGAGCTCTGTCCACACCCTGTCATCAGCGGCCACTCATCCCTGCTTCCGCCTGAAGGTCCTGTGTGGATCACAACACTGCAGTGTGATGCAGAGTTCTTTACATGGTGTGGACAAAATCCAGTGACAAAATTTTAAGTCCCTAACTGGGATGTTACTTCTCTAGCCTTCTTGGTAGCTTGCAAAGTGCTAGGTACAGAAGAGGAAGGTGCTAGTTAATACCTGGTGGGTGGAACTGAATTCCCCTCTGAGGCCAGGATACAAATCAAAATGCCTTTGTGAGGCGTCCTGTCTGTGAGTTGCCTGGCAGAGAGGCACATCACTTCTGTTGGAATCCCAAATGCTCAGGGGCTTTTAATAGCCATGGCCTTGCATTTCAATGTCTTTTTTAATTTCAAAATCTACCCAATATTAATTGGTGGCTTCATGAGTTCTTTTAGTTGCTATGTCGTGTCCAGCTCTTGAGACCCCATGGACTATGGCACACAGGCTCCTCTGTCCATGGGATTGCCCAGGCAAGAATACTGGATGGAGTGGATTGCCATTTTATTCTCCACGGCATCTTCCAGTGTCTCCTGCATTGGCAGGCAGATTACCACTGAGCCATCTGGGAAAGCTTATTGAGTTAGGGCCTTATAAACAGCCACTACAGTTAAGCCAAAATACTGCTGGGGACAGGGTCACTTTTGGGGGCAGAGTCTGTTTTTTTGTCCCTTCCCCATACCTTACGGACTGAGGTTGTGTGCTGTGGCATTGGCGGCTGCTCATAACCCCCAGCACCCCCTGCTCACAGCACCCTCTCTCCCGACACCCGGATCCTCGGCGGGCGCCTCTCCCGTTCTCCCCCCTGTGCCACGCGGTGAGCCCTGCACCCAGGGCTCTCTCCCACCACCTCCCACAGGCCGTGCCCCCCGTGTTGCCCCAGGCACAGCCTGGGCTGGCCACTGGCTGCATCCTGCTTTCCTGCATGTTCCAGGAACCCATCCCGTTCTCTCCCAAGAATCAGCAGTTCTGCCCCCACTGCAGGGGCAGCAGGCTGATTCCTTGATGACTGAATGACCATTATAGGCTTGGCTGTCTAAATGAAGCTTACAGCAAAGCATTTTCACTAAAGTTATTTATTATGCAAAAGAGTAAGGCTCTAGCAAACCAGCATAAATTAAGACCAAGCAGAGTGGGTTTTCCATCCATCACCATGTGCCCTTTTATTACACAGCTCTGTTCTAACACGTCAGCTGAGGCTCTTTTTGTGATGCCACTGTCCTTTGGGATCTTTCTAGGTTCGAGCTATACCAAGTCGTCCTTCAAGGCCTTCCCCATTTGATGAGATGGGTTTGTCTCATTCCATGAGGTGAGCAAGTGGCTGCAAAGAACGTGGTCTTGCTTCTCTCGCTGCCAGCTCACCTGTTCAACATCTGCAGTGACACCGCTCTGTTCTCTCATCCCAGACTCTTCACAGCTCGCTTCCCTGTGAGAGCATGGGCTCCTTGAGGGCACGGCTAGGCTTGTTCGTCTCTCGGTCCCAAAAGAGGGCCTGGCATAGATTCTATCACGGGGAATGTGCACTTGATTGCAGGAGGGCTCCTTCACGCCCCCCAGGCCTCTGACTCCCCTGCTCCCACCCCTGTCTACCAATACCAACTGCCACCTACTCCCACCTTCCCCTCTGCCCCCTTCCTGGCCCGATCACCAGTTACCTTGAAATCAGGGGGCACGGTAACAGCTGAAGCCAAATTTACAGCGGGGGCAAAGCTACTCAAAAGCGGACAGGACGATACAGACTGTTTGGACGGGCACTAACATTTGTGGTTTCTCTGGGGACTTCACAAAACACAGCCTGAATTCAGTTATGTTTGAGAGGGAGGAGGCCCGCCTCCCAGTTAAGAACCTGGAGCTGCAGGGAGTAGGGTCTGCCTACGGTCTCCAGGAAACCAGAAGACCTGAGAACAAGGTGCGCTCACAGTGGACTCCTCAGGGAAGGGCATGGGGATGCACTCTCCCAGCATCCAAGGACAAAATTCTGTGTGAGTTTGGAATTGGGTGTGACCGAATGTTACAACTTGAAGCATCCCACTCAGAAATACTTGGGTGGTGGAGAAATATGAGTGAACTGGGTTATAAATGCTTTATCCTGTATCTTTGACAATCTGGCCGTCTACAGGTCTGGCCTGTGAGTGCTGAAACTCCAGCAGCTGTTAGCGAGGGGGCAGGGCTTGCATGTGGAGGGCGTCATAGGTGTCCTTGGTGGCCTTGCTGAGTCCCTGGGAAAAACAAATGAGAAAAGAGGAGGAGGTCAGAAGCCCTGTGTGGGCGTGAGCCTGCCTCGAGGCCAACAGGCTTCAGATGCAAGCTGGCCCGTGCCCTCCCCCCGAGCTCCGGAGCCCGGGAACTGTCCCCGAGGCCACAGCTGAGGGCTCTGTGTTTTAGAGAAGCTGGCTGTGCTCAGGGTACACAATTCACACCGATTTGCAAAAACTAAGCACCCGACTACAATAACATTTTCTTTTTAAAGTTATTTTTCTTGGCTGGTTTACTTCCGTCTTCTCACCCACCCTACTAGGTGTGAGGATAAGGCAGGGTACGGCCTTTGCGAGGACCCAGAGCAGTGGAGAAAGAGGCAGGAAATGGCTTGTTCGGTGTCCTTTGCTCAAGACCACACAGCCTCTGGGCAACTGCCACCTGTCTGCCTTGCTCTGTTCCCCCAGGGCTCCCCTCGCAGCCTCCTTAGAGTCAAGTGATGTGCTTGAAAGGCTGAATCCCAACCCTGCCTCAAGGACTGACTGGCACAGCAGTCACTACAGGCCTGAATGGGTGCCCTTGGCTTGCCAAGTCAGCTGTTGAAAAGCTGGCACTGCCAACAAGACACACAAGGGGCCTGAGAGTGGTCCTGGTTAGACGGCGCCGTCCCGGGAAGCAGGGCCGGCCGTGCAGACCAGAGGCACCGCCAGCTGCACTTACCTGGTAAAGACCGTCCTGCCCCTTGCCTCTTCGCCGCTGGTTCTGTGGGAGTGAGACAAGAAAAGGCTAGAAAGTCAGACAGTTGGCAGCGGCCTTCCTGCTCAAGGGCCCTACTCGGAGGGCCCCGGTTGTTCGGGGTTGCCCTTTCCTAGCCAGCAGCCCTGCCCGGGGAGAGAAAGGCCCTCAGGTTAGACCATGGCCTCCGCAGAGTAAGGTGAAGCCGGGCTCTGACGAGGCCCAGGTTTGCTCTGCCCGACGCAGACCCTCATCAGATTCTTGGATCTGGGCTGCATGGGTGCTGGCCATGCTGCCCACTGCTTGGAATAATCGGGCCTCCCTGCAGCTCTCAAAATTCTTGGCTAACTAGGAAAGTCACTATGGAGGTTCCTCAAAAAACTAAAAGTTGGATTACCATATGATCTTAGAAAACTACAATTCAAAAGGATACATGCACCCCAATGTTCACTGCGGCACTGTTTACAATAGGCAAAACAGGGAAGCAACTTAAATGTTCATCAAAAGATGAATGGATAAAGAAGATGTGGTACATATATATGACAGAATATTACTTGGCCATAAAAAAAGAAAGAGAAAATGCCATATGCAGCAAATGGATGGACCCAGAGATTATCATACAAAGCAAGCCAGAGAAAGACAAAAACCATATGATATTACTTACATATGGAATCTAAAAAGATTATACAAATGAATTTATTTACAAAGCAGACTCACAGACTTATAGAGCAGACTTATGGTTGCCAAGAGGGTGGGGGAAGGATAGATTGGGAGTTTGGGATTAGCAGATGCCAACTATTACTGATAAAATGGATAAATTATAAGGTCCTACTACATAGTACAGGGAACTACATTCAATATCCTGTGATAAACCGTAATGGAAAAGAATATGAAACAATGTATATAATCACGGAATCACTTTAATTAACACAACACTGTAAATCAACTATATGTGAATGAAATAAATTTTAAAAAAATTTTTATCTAGTCATTTATACTCATTGGGAACAGCAACTCCGTCATGGGCACAAGCTCCAGCTGTAGAGTCTGTTCCGATTCTGGCTCCCTATCACCGGCTTCGCGACCCTGGGTAAGTTACTGAACCACGTGCCTGGAAGGGCACACCTGTCTCACCAGGTCACTGTGGGCGTTAAATGAGACCATCTGCCTGGAAAGCACGAGCCAGGCCAGCAGTGTGGGCGTGCTGCGTGTGCAGTTACGCAGGGACCAGACCTAGAAGGCTCAGTGCCCTGCTCTCGCCATCTGGGAGTCCTTAATCGTGTGTGAACAAGGGGCCCACCCTCCCAAGTGCTGAACATGCTCTGACACACATTAATCACTTGATTATTATTAATGTGACAGATTTTACCTTTTCTTGCAAAGCATAGGCCATTTTAGAATTTAACTTGGTTTTTAATCCTAAAGAGCATCAGTCCTTTCTGAGTACCTTACATTCTATCAAGAGATGACACAGCTGGATTAACCATTGCCTCTGGTGGCCGTCCCATGGGCTTTTGCAGGTGACAGGAGGAAGGGATGGGACTCTCTGGAACATCCCCCACACCACCCAAGCCGGGGAACAAAGAAAGAGCAACACTCACGTCACTCTTCATCCCGATCTCACTGTAGGCCTCCGCCATCTTGTCTTTTCTTAGCTCCTGAAAAAGAGGGCATGAGACCCTGGTTTTACCAACCAATGCAGAAAACTGTGGACTCCCCTGCAAAAGGGAACCTCTAGATTCCCAAGGAGGGGGGGGTTCTATATTCAAGGCTCCAACAATCAGCTCCAACTCCACCCTTTTCCTTTGGAAACCTCTGAAAGCCAGCCCTTTGCATTGAGCTGAGCAGCTCAGGTTGGAACCTGAGATAAGATGTGGACTCCTAGCCAAAGGGCACACATGTTGGACAATGCAAGAGCTCACTCGAAGGCCCCAGAATTATTTATTTAAGCAAGTTGTCTCTTTACATAGCCAACACCGTAGGAAGAAGTAGCTCTCTTTACAGTAGGTTACCCCCTGCACTGGTCCCCCACATGCTGATCAACACCCAGGATGGGGAGGTTTTCAACAAGAGGTGAAATTCGGGGACTACTCTGGATCCTAGGAACAGGAGTCCCTCCCAGGGCCTTGCCCAGCTTGACCTCACTGTCCCTGCCGGGTCCCAACCAGGCTGACCCGGGAACTCCAGCGGCAGGCACAGGGGCCGAGAGAGGGAAAGCAGGCCAAGGGGCCTTCCTACAAGCAGCCACTGCAGGCAGCAAGCAGGTGAGGTCTAATTCGGCCCCAGGAGTGAGAGTCAAGTCAGGCAAAGACCACAGAGCAAGGAGCCAAACCTTTGTCCAGAGCCCTTCTCCAGCCCTCCCCCCCAAATTTCCAAGGAAAAATATGCCACCTCCTCTACTCACATTGTACACGACTTCGTGGGGGTTCTTCTTCCTCTGCTGGGAGAGAGAAGGGGAAGAAGTTAGCATGGGAGAAACAGGAATCCAGGCCAGGAGAGCTGAGGCTCCTTCCCTCCGCCCCTTCCCCACAACTGTGGGCTCCTCCTCAGCCCGTGTGCCCCCTGGGCGCCTGCAGTCCCGCTCAGCCGCCCCAGGGCCTCCACGGCCTCATGCTCCCTCATGCACACAGACATGCTCTCACACCCAAGCTGAGCCCTGCTCTTAAGACCCCACCTCGGGCCTCCAGCTGCTCCTTTTCCCACAGGGTGTGGAGTTTACAGCTGCAAAGGCAGAGCTGCCGAGAGCCTGGTATCGGCGTTGCCACATTCATACTGTGAAGGCCTGTGTGACGCAGAAAGGCGCCCTGGGCAGCGGCGGAGGACGGGGTGGTGGCCACCGGCCGCCTGGCAGGCCTCTCACACCACAAGGTCCAGCATGGTGAAGAGCGTGCTGGCCCCAAGGAGCCCACCTCTAACTGCCTGGCTGAGCCCGCACACACACTCACACTCACACACGCAGACACAAAAAGGCCTTACCGGTTTCCCCCCCATCTCAGGGTCGAAGCCCCCTCTCCTATCCAGGACTGCATACTCCTCTCTTCGGCCGACATTCAGCTCCTAGAAGATGCAGAAATGAGTCAGAGATGACAAAGGAAAGCTCAGGAGGATGGGGCCGGTAGGCCAGGCAGTTCTTTAAGAGTGGTGGCTCACAAAGGAGCAGGGACCAGGGGATCCATCGGCTACGATCATCTCGGAAAGCCTCTCAGAGAACATATTACTGGGGGCGGGGGGGGCGGGGGGGTGCATGATCTATTCGATCAAAGTCCCACTGCACGGAGACAGTGAAATCGCTTCTCCACCGCAGGGAAGATCTATACTTTCCTTTTCCACCCCCATCACTCTGGTCCGTGAAACCGCTGCCGGGCGGGGGCTCGCTTGGAGCAGGCACCGCACTAAGGGGGCGCCCGCCGCGCAGCACATCGCTAGGGAGCGGCATCCTCCCAGCACCTCCACGAAGCAGGCATGGTGACTATCCCCGTTTTATGAGTTAGGAAACTGAGTCCCAGAGAGGTTAAAACAGCCTGCAGTGCTAATGGCCGCGGACCAGACCCACAGCCGAGCCCCTGGCCGCTGTTCCCCCACGTCCCAGGAGAGGCGTGCACCTTCTAGGCTAGGCTCTCCTGGAGAGGCGGACTTACGTTGTAGACCGGATTCTGGCCCTGCTGGTAGGCGGGGGCGTCGGCACTCCTGCTGAACTGGATGGGGAAGAGGAGAGAAAGCGCTTTACTTTCTGCGCGGGCAGCCTCGCTCCGCTTCTCCACTGCAAACGCTTGCGCCCTGTCTGCTGGGGCTGGGCCCCTGCGAGCTCCGGGGGCCTGAAAGCCTCATTTCTGAGCCCAGCTGTCCTTACTCCTCGCAGGGGTCAAGCGCAGTCACCGCAGGTGCCCTGGCGCCCGCCCGGGTTTCCGCTCCCAGGCCAGGGCCCTCGCGCATGCGCAGAAGCGCCTGCCTCACGGGCCTCGCCCACTGCGTTCCGGGTTTTCCCCCGGCCCCTTCCTCCCAGGGATTCGGAGAACTAGTTGAGAGGTGCCACCTCCTGTCTTGACCCCTGCGGCCGGGTGCTTTCCATGTGGCGCTGTGTCCTGAGGACCGAGGCTTCGTCTCCCTTTGCCCACGCCGCGGCCACCCCACCGCCCGCCCCAGCCCCTGGCAGGACCTGCAGGGCCCTCGGTGAAAACCCGTGCTCTGCGTTAACCTTCCCACGTACGNATTCTCCATACCCCATTTGACCACAACCTCTCTCCCTCCTTGGACCAGCCTCTGGAGAAACCTAGCCTGCCCCAGCAGGGGACATGGCACGCGGCAGGACCACACAGCCTGGAAGGCAGGAAGCAGGTAAAAACTAAGCGGGGGAGGTGAAATTGTCCCTTGTGCACACTGCGCATGAAAACACATTGTGCTGCTCCCAGCATGGGAGCCCCGATAGGTGCGAGCCCCATGTGAACCACGTAATCTGGAAGCCACCCCAAATTGCCAGGGGTCCCCCCAGAGTATGTGCTATGCAAACTAAAGTACAATGGGGTTGGGGAAGGAAGTACAGTAAACAGCATTTTTTGAAAGCTCACTACACTGTGGGAGAGGAGACACGGATTTAGCCTAGACTGTTCTTCCTGCCGGGTATGTGTGCCGCAACTCAAGTGTAAAACGGGCTGTAGTAGGCGTCTAACTCCTCCCCCGCCTGCTCTCAGGGGAGCCGCATCCCGCGGCCGCAATCTCTCCCGGGCCGAGGGCGCCCCCTCATGGCCGCCTGCAGCACTACCCCGGGACTAAGGGAGCGGGTAACGTGCCCTTGAAGGCCTCCTCCTGTGACTTGGGGCAAGTTGTTTACCCTATTTCAGCTGCCTCGTCTGTTGACCAGGGTGAAAACTATAACATTTCTTTAGTGTTTACTTCGTGCTAGACACCGATTTGATGTAATAGCTCGTCAGTTCCTCCCAACAGCACCACGTGGACACAGAAGCAGGGAGAACTCCGGATTTAGTCAGCAGCACTCAGCAAGTAAGAGGCAGGCCAGGGGAGCCCAGATGGTGTATCTCCCCACCCCCACCCCCCTCCCCCCGACCTCCTGGGCCGAGCCCTGCCCTCCCTCTTGCAGGAGCAACCTTTTGGCTTCTGCCACAAGCCCCGGAGCAGGTGATTCAAGGCTGCACCCGAGTCCCCACCCCCAGCCCTCTGGAATCCTCTGTTCTCAACCCTTTAACTACTTCCCTAACTCAGGACCCTCCACCCCCACGCCCGCCCCAGGCACTGATTTCTTTGTAAACTCCCCATAGTCCTTGCTCAGAAACCGTTTTCTGTCTGAGTGAAGTCTAGCCCTGACTTAGCTCAGGCCCAGCCCCCGCTCAGGGTCTCCCCACACTGTCCCTCCTGCCCTTCCTGCCTGCCTTTACTGCAGTCGGTCCCTCTATCTGCCTGCGGTTGCGAGCACTCATCTGCCGGAGTGGGGCTCGGTCCCGCTGTCACAGCCCCAGTGAGAGTTCCCCATGCTGAAGGACCTGCCTCTACGGAGCTCACTACAGACTCAGTGTGTTGGGTTGTGAAATTCCCCTCCTCTGGGATGTAAGTGCTGGACAACAGTGGCTGCATTTTCCGCATTCTTGCCTCTCCCTTCACCCCCAACATCAGAGCACAGACTAGATATATGGAATTTTCACGGAAGATACCAGGCCTCCTATGCAAGCTTGGCCTGACCTCTGGCCCTGAGGTGGTGCTGGAAGCCGCTGCTGACTGAAGGTAGGGGATCTGAAGGCCACTCCAGGATTCTTGCCTGAAAAGTCCCATGGACAGAGGAGCCTGGCCGGCTACAATTCATGGGGTCGCAAAGATTCAGACACGACTGATCACACACGCACACCACACACACTGAAGGCCTATGAGAGACAACCCAGCCCCCAGCGAAGGCCATGTTTGGTGGCCACTCCACCCTAGCTGGGGTAATTTTTTTTCCTTTTAGGACTGGAAGGGTGTCAGCGGAGATTTATTTGGGTGGTTGAGATTCAGAAAAAGGGTCGGGAGAAAATTGCTCAGTTGCCCGTCACATAAAATGAGAGCAGAAAAATTACTGGGCAGTAAATTTAGAACAAACAAGGAGAAATATTTCTTGGTGTTGTGCAGAGCCAGTGCAGTGGGGAGAGGATTTGGCCCCTCCCCAGAGATAAGTAATAGGAACAGATTTCTTTTTTTTTCTTTCTTTTTGAACAGCAGCATGATTTTATGACCAAAGACAAATGTGCTGTGTGTGGTTTGGTCAAAAAAGGATATTAATCGCCACATACACCCCAGGGTGGAAACTTCCCTCTGTCTAGTCCAGCTGTGCCCATGAGAGGAGGAATGCAACTGATGAAAGCAGTGATAATCCAGAAAGTTCCTTGAAGGGACCCAGGGCCTAATTCAGTTGTGTGGCTAATTAAATATTTATTGGGCATCTGCTTGATGTCAGGGGATACTGAAATAGAAAGAACCCTGGATTGGGTATCAGGTGGGTTCTATCAATAGTCCTTCCTCTGCCACTAAGTAGCTGTATGATTTTGGGCAAGTCACCTCACCTCTCTGGGCCTGTTTCTCCATCTGTAAAATGGTGGGTCATCCTGTCTACCTTATGGGTGTGGTGAGAATCAAATGAGAGAAGGTACTGGTAGGTGTTTTTGTAAATTTCTTCTGTAAGGATACACATGTCTCACATTTGAGTAGGGTCTTCTGAGTCCCTGCTCTTTTAGGGCTCATGTCTTAGCTCTTGAGGCCACACCCAGGTTGGAGGGGCTTCCCTTGGACAGCAGGCAGCTTTCCAAGATGACAACTCAAAGACAGGAGCCATAGACACTCCTAGGTTCTGGCTTCTTCCCTGCCTCCCCATCCCCAAGAGAGAGACCCATTTTCCTCCTTCCCTGAGCATCTTGTTTCTGTCCCCACCATATTCAGTCCTTAAGAGAGGTATTTAATGGGGTTATATGGTGGCTGTTTTCCTAAACAACAGGAGAACCTGTTTTATTTCACACTTCCCATCCTCTGTCCCAGATCCACAGCACCCAGGAGAAGCCCAGAATTTGCACAAGTACCCAGATACTGATTAAGGGTTCTCATTCTCAGCCCCGGTCGCGTGTTAGGATAGGCCTGGGGTCCACTCTGAGCCCAAGTTCTCATTTGATTGTCTAGGGTGGGGACTGGGCCAGTGCACAGCAGAGCCGAGCCTCAGAGCGCAGTGTCCCTCAGGCCCAGCCCTTCTCAGCAATACAGCTGTGCCCTACAACAAGTATCATTTCACTGCCAAAAAGAGACAAAAAGCAAAAGCAAAGCCTCAGTCTTTTATATGCACTGTAACCTTTGGGTACTTCTCAACTGTGTGTTATTGAACTTCTCTAAGCCTCAGTTTCCTCATCCATAAAACAGGATAATATTAACTGTCTCATTAGGTGATGGTGAGGCTTAATATCTCAATAAGATAATTAATGCCTGGCATGTATTAATAATAAGTGCTCCGTTAGGTTGGAGGGGCTTCCCTTGGACAGCAGGCAGCTTTCCAAGATGACAACTCAAAGACAGGAGCCATAGACACTCCTAGGTTCTGGCTTCTTCCCTGTCTCCCCATCCCCAAGAGAGAGACCCATTTTCCTCCTTCCCTGAGCATCTTGTTTCTGTCCCCACCATATTCAGTCCTTAAGAGAGGTATTTAATGGGGTTATATGGTGGCTGTTTTCCTAAACAACAGGAGAACCTGTTTTATTTCACACTTCCCATCCTCTGTCCCAGATCCACAGCACCCAGGAGAAGCCCAGAATTTGCACAAGTACCCAGATACTGATTAAGGGTTCTCATTCTCAGCCCCGGTCGCGTGTTAGGATAGGCCTGGGGTCCACTCTGAGCCCAAGTTCTCATTTGATTGTCTAGGGTGGGGACTGGGCCAGTGCACAGCAGAGCCGAGCCTCAGAGCGCAGTGTCCCTCAGGCCCAGCCCTTCTCAGCAATACAGCTGTGCCCTACAACAAGTATCATTTCACTGCCAAAAAGAGACAAAAAGCAAAAGCAAAGCCTCAGTCTTTTATATGCACTGTAACCTTTGGGTACTTCTCAACTGTGTGTTATTGAACTTCTCTAAGCCTCAGTTTCCTCATCCATAAAACAGGATAATATTAACTGTCTCATTAGGTGATGGTGAGGCTTAATATCTCAATAAGATAATTAATGCCTGGCATGTATTAATAATAAGTGCTCCGTGTATCAGCTATTGTTATCACCATGATTTTTTTTTTCCCCAAATCACCACCAATATATTTGTTTGAGGGAGAAAGGGTCAAATCATGTCAAGATCTTTTAAACCAGACAGGATTAGGGACACCGATCTGCCTAACTTCTGGGGGTTCACAGCTGCACAGGTAGGGTGTGTGAGGTGACACCAGGTGACCAAAGAGCGCGATGGGAGGATGCATTCTGAGCAGGTGCTGCCTCCTTAGCAGAAAATGAGGACGGAACCCCCTAGAGCCCGGTATCCTCCTAGCACAGGCCAGGACGTGATAGTGACCTGGTGAAAAAGAATCTCCCCCTATTTGCAAAGCAAAAGAACAGAGCTCCCAGCTGAGCTGCAGAGTGAAAGCTGGGGGTGGAATCTGACCCCATGATCCTTCCCCTCCGATCCAGGCCTCCACAAACCACTCTGTGATCCCCTGCACAAGGCAGACTCAGCAAATCTGCGAGTTAGGACGAGCCTTCCCAGTTCCCCAGCCCCATTCCACTGTATCCAGGTCCAACAGGTGACCCAATCCCAGGGCACAGACCCAGCCTCTCTGGGCCCCCACTTCTGGGTAGACACATGGCAAATATGGAAACAGAAGCCCAGCTGGACTGGAACCCGTCTGAATACTGACAGGTTGCAGTTGTCCTATAGGTGCTCCAGAATCAGTCCTCACCCAAGGTGGTCAGGCTGAAACAGAGCAGTTACTTAGGTGATTCCAGTTGCTCCAGGGCAGAACTCAACCTGGAAGAAAAGAAGGCTGGAGCTTCAGAAGAGCTGACCCTGCACATCCAAGTGCCTCCTGCCGTGGATCCGGGATCAGAACACAGGGAGCGAAGGAGACCCAGTCTGGGACCTGCGGTTGTTCACCGAGACTGCCTGCCCGCATGCTCACTCCAGTCTCCATCACAAACAGTGTAGGTCCAGGTGGTCAGGGCCTGCCTGAACTGGGAGCCTGGATTCTAGGTGTTTCCTAGCCTCCCTTTGTCGTCATA